AAAAAATGAAACATTTAATAATACCATTAATACCTGAATAATAATTATAGTTATTACTAAAACATAAAAAAACACTTCAAACAATAATACATATTATCTAACCATCATAAAACTTAATTGATCTAGATAAAAAAAAAGTTATAAATGGGAAAATATGGTTACATAATGTGTATTGTATATATAATGAAGTCTTTATTACAGTGAAACCTCCCCTAACATACACCTCTAAATAGTAGACACCTTATAGTTGTTTTATTTTGGGAGCAAACTATAAACTTATTATAATATACAATATACAATCATAACACTATAAATAGCGGAAGCTTTCRCGTTGGAGAGAAGATTTCTGCGATCGAGAGTGTCCGATATTTAAAGGTTTCACTGTTTGAATACCTATTCCTTAATTACATTAAAAATATTGCAATTTTTTAGGTGGATATAATTTATGGCCACCAATTAAAAAAAATTCTATGATAATTTAAAAATAAATTACTGCTGAAAGTATATGAAGTGTATTGAATAATTATAATAGCATTTTAGATAAAATCTTTAAGGGGGTTGGCGCGCAGTATCCCTATATGACTATAATATATATATATTATGTAGCAGGTGCCTATATTATGTATGTTTAAAAGGGAAACGAAAAAACACGACTAAAAAATGCGTCGCGTGACCATCCATCGGCTGCAACAACCGAAAGTTACCTATACGTGTACACACGCACATCAGAAAGCGAATAGCGTATATATATTTATATTATTATTATTATATCGATCTCATGAAGGGTATATGCGGTACACGAGCGAGCCGTGTCATTGGTTCGGAATGACCACACCTACACGGTCGGGCAACGTTACCAAGGCAACCACGGTGATGTATAAAATGCCAAAATGTGCACGCACACATTCACATATTAATAATACAATACATGTTATGCTATATACCCGGTACCCATTTGTAGTGGAGAGCTGCAGTGGACGTGAGAGTGTGTGCATACCGCCTAGCTAACAGCTATGTAGATTATAATATATTGCCAACGCCAAAGTACGCTAGGACGCTGTATAATATATATATATAAGAATATACACTTACCTTTATATATATACWATGTATATAATTGCATTCACTCTGTGGGCTTATCGTCGGTACAGTTAAAATACCAATCAATCGTTTTCCATCATTGCCATCGTGCAACATTCTAATTATAGTTTTATATATGTAACCTGTAACCTATGACCTTAACGGTGCTCTACCTACAACCAATTTTTTTTACCTCAACCGTGCGTACAAAATAATGTTCAGTTTTACTCCGTTATAAAGGAATTGGTGCGTGAAGATATCAAGTTGAATTTAAATTGAGTACAATTTAAAAAAAAAATAATAACCAAAAATATATAATGTACAACGTACGTTTCTTTGTTGTAGGTATATTAATATATTATATTATTATATTTATTTAGTTGTGTAAATCTACATTGTTATTATATCTCTTAAGTCATGATTTATATGTTTAAGCTTACAACAATCGTTTACTTACCTACTTTATAGTCACCATAACAATTAACATATGATTGTRTATTATGTATATAATTATATTTTAGGTACGTAAAATTGGGACATACTACGCGTCATACTTGTACTACTTTTTATGCCCTTACTCTTTAATACTGGATTATATTTTATTATAATATTGTTGTTATGCTGTGTTTTTCACTGTCTCTCACTCTGGAAAGCGCAAAAATGCAGATTACTCCATTACGCCGCTGCTACGAACACGTGGAAAAGGGAAATCGTACGTGGCGCGGCGCAGTAGTATACCAAAGTTTTTCCGCATTCGCCCACTACGTCTCGCGGGTTCAGATAGTCCCTCCCCAGCCCGTTCTTTGACCTGCCACATCGTCATAGCCATTCGCGCGTGCGCATGTGCCCAACCCTCCCGGACGTTTCAGCTTGCACTTATATATTACTAAAGGCATATATATATTATAGTAACCCTCGTCACGCGTGGAACGAAACGACGCGGCTTTAAATTCTTCCCATAACTCAACCTCTCACTCCCGACGCCGCTCACTCATTCCGTCTCTCTTTCCTTCTATTTCCCCCGTTTTAATAAAACCCTTCAACTCTCCTACCTCACTATATATATATACATGCGCGTTCTTACTATATACGTATATATCATCATATACTTTCTTGTCAGTAGATATTATACACATATATACACAAAACCGTCGTCGTCGTTGTGTCGCAGACTTCGCTCGGAAACGTATATTATTATATACGGGTATACCTCCCCGCCACACATAACGACTTTATCTCTGTATATCTAATACACTCCCCTCGTTGYCACCTCGCCACCCGATCACTCCTGCACGTGCTTGTGCACGGCAAGTAAATGTGTATTCTATTAACGCGCCAAATTTCGTTTTGCAAATGAAAAACGAAACAAGACCGTGTTATTTATATAATGGTTTATTGTATGTGTATTGTGTATTGTGTATGTACCTATATTATGTTTTATTATATATTATAATATACTATACGAATTCGGCTGTTAGTATTTCTATACTTAATAATCTAATGAATCGTAATGTTACACAATATAATACATAAATCGCTATATAAATTTCATCACACCACACCACAGACGAGCTTAAATATTTGCAAGTACATTACACGTACGTATATACGATATAGGTACATCATAATATATGTAATATCACAAATAATATTTTTATTTTTTTTTTATTGATCCTAAGCTATCAGTTGTTTGTATAGGAGGAAACGGTTGGTTGCTAAAAATCCTATAGATGGTCAMGCAACCGGGAGCTATAGCAACGCTGGCCGCGTGCGCAACTGAGCACCTTGCCATAAATAATATCATATACGTATATTGTGTTTTACCAATATTTTGACATCGACGTCGTTGGTTTATGCGTCTATAATAGTTTTGTTTAAACTTAATTGAATTTTGTTAATTCGTTAACATTTTTACTATACCTTGGTGTAAAATTACATATAGTTACACAATTATTTAACATAATACATAATAAATAAAATTAATTCAAACTAAATAAATAATACCTATATAGATTGGTTTTGCTACGCCGAATTTAAAAATAATGTATTATATAGTAGGTTTTCTCATTGAGCTAGGTATATATTCGTGTTTACTGTAAGAAAGTATACAAACTTATATATCTATAATATGAATATGTCCATGATATATTATACAATATTATAACAAATAATAAAAATTAAAAAACTGTTATAATCGCTGATGTTAATTACATACATATTACAYAATATATAATAAATTAATAACTAAAAATGATACAAAAAAACACCATAAAAATATTCACAACRATCTTTAATAGGAGTCATACATTACTTCATCGAGTGTTATTCACAATATATAAAAAACAAATTAAAATAAAACTTTAAATATGACTAGAAAAAAAGAAAAATATACATTAGTAATATACAAATAACAATTATTCAGTGATTTGTATTGTACCTATATAATATATCTATTTTGAGTTATAATAAATTATTGTATGTGTCCGAATAAAGTTTTATTGTATGTTAACTAGCTGGTTTATTATCATAATATTTCAGCTCAATATCGATTTAATCTATCGGCATAATCGTATTAAAATTCCACAGCTCAATTTTACTGTCCCAATMAATAAGTTTACAAATTTGGTTGGCAGAACCGCTGCATAATGTGTGAATCGCTGTATCTTTTAATTCTCTTGGCACTTTTCAGGCATTCGTTTATATAGTAATCAAATTCCGTGCCTACAGCCAAATTTCAATACTAACGGTGTTTGCTATATAACAAGTGTATTTATAATTATTCTCCACATTAAAATGTATGTAAACACAATCCAATCGCTAGTCTATAAATCAAAGTCGAAAAATGCAAACGAAATACAAAATATAATGAAAATAAAATAAAAACACTGAATTATTAGATGCAAATACAAATTTATAACTTTGAGAATAAAAATATATATATACATAAAATTATATGACAGTTAGACAGCACACTGTATATTATTCAATACTCTTAGTTTTTTTTTTTTATATATATAAATACGAATAATATACAACTATGAGCCATTTAGATGCAAAAAAATCAATCGATAAAATTCCTCGTATAATATATTATGAACAAAGTGAAAAACTGATATTTCACATAARCAGATATGTRTCGAAGCAAATGTCAGTTATTTCAAAAAATAATTCACATTTATAATAAGTACGATTTTTTCTAAATATTCGTTTATGTATTTTCATTTCATCTCGTATTATCCAACAGTATTTATAGAGGCCAAAGATGAAGGCATATATATTATTATTGTTACTTATATTTTATTGTATGGCTCGATCTTTCCCTACCTCGTACGTGTACAATGTACACTGTACATGTAAGAAAAAAATGAACCCACATATGCATTTAGAAATATTTCCTCCGTAAGAAATATTTTTTCTGCTGACAGTAGTAGAACATAAATTTAAAAAACATTCAAAAAATACTTCATAAAAAAATTAAGTCTATAAATGCTTTATGGGAAAATACTGTTACATTTTATTTGACTTGTAGAAATGTATTGTTTATATTAAATAATATGTATTAATTATATTTCTAATTTATGTACTTTATGTCAAGTAGATGTTGATTAAATTTTTTGGTTTAAAAAAAAAATATATATACATATAAAATAATATCCAATTCATCATAACWATATATTATAGCTGACGTTTTTATGACTTATGAATCGCAGCTTTTTTAATTTTGTTTACTTTTTGTGATTGCAGGTCTAGAAGCTCAAGTACAAGAGACTTCCAAAGATCTATATTGGTTTTAAATGTTTTGACGAGAATGTTTATTAAATTTCGGTAAAACATCATTCTTCCGTTGTTAATATTGAATAAGTGGTTTTTACGTATATATAATGTAGTAATAGCTTAGGTACTCAACAGTTAACACTTCAGCGAATGTGGAAGCACCATTCTATGTTATTGAACACCTACAATAATTTATTAGTTTGGTATGTTTTTATATTATACAGAACAATTTAAAGCAGACAATATGATGTATTATGATAATATGATGATAATAGTTATCATTAATATGAAATTAATATCACAACGATAAACATAAAATTGTATAATTTTGTTTGGAAAAACGTGTGGATTACAATTATATCAACTATATTATTTTATGTAGCGTAATTATAAGGTATATACAAATTATAAGGTATAGATAAATTATGTAGTGCTGGAAATTAATATGATCCTCAGATTATAATTTAGCAGATATCCCAAAATATGGATCATTGGCAGTTATATTGTTTAYCTAAATRTATTGAATTATAATATTTTTTTTATTTTATTACACAAGATACCTATTATATTGATCGAATAATTATAAAAATTGACTAAATTACCAAAAACTATATCCAAAAATACGGATATCTGAATTTTACAAGATCTATCATTTTTTCAAACTCTTATGTAATAAATAATAGTTTATTATACATAGTTAGCACATGTGTCTCGCCGCTTTTGCGATCTCGGTCTAAAACTCAACAACTTTTCAATCGCTCTTTTTGTTTTTTTASTATRTCCAATGATAATATTTACTAGACATGTCAAACATTTTTTATGACCTTCAGCCTCTGGGATGRTTTGAAAATTAAATGGAAAAAAATAGATAAATAAATAATTACAAGTTTTATTTTATTCCGAAAATACGTTATAGAAGTATGTTTGGTATATATAAATACCTATTATATTTATAATTTTACAGAATTACAAAATTAGGAGGGCAATCACAAAACTGATGACTGTAGGAGACACTCAGTATAAAGGTAAACAAATATATAGATTAAAATATATATATTCGTATCCTAATAATCTATACTCATAATATAACAGTGTTATGTAAAATAATAACTATAGTAATTCTAATATAATAGTTATACTCACAATACTCACTATATATATATATATAGTATTTAAGTAGTGCTATTTTTTATTTGTATACACTTTTTAACGCATCCGTTTCAATGTATTTCATACCTAATTTATATAAGATGTTTCATTTTATATTATTATACTATTAATATTATTATTATAATACTTTGTAAACTGTTAGAACCGTGTGTTGATGTGCAATTTTAGATTAGATTCCTATATTATTTTATAGAAAATCTTATATGATATTTACTTGAATAATATTATTATCATATATATTAATATATAATAATTGATAACCTACCAAAGGTATACTATCGTAATTGTATAAATATAATTATTAAGACTTGTACTTATAATATAAATGTTGAACAAATATATAATATGTATCCCAAACGTAGATACGATATCAATAAAATACTGAACCGTATGAAATACCTGCAAAATACGTCATGACTGACTGTGTGTTTTTATTTTATTCATCATAAGCAATACAACAACACCTTTGTYCTAATCTGCATATTATTTGATATTATATAATATCTCTCTTTTACCTATATCCAATCTTGTTCTGTTCAATATTAGTCTATAATAATTATAGATGACCGATGAGAATTAATTGGCAATAATAATAAATTGTTAACTGTAAAGATGAGCTTTTCGTGGATGAAACAGCCGGATCTTCATAACGTATAAACCGATTAACATTGAATAGTTARTATAATATAATATATATCTATATTATAATTTATAAATACTATTAGGTTATTGTATGCAGAGGAGGATACTAAAAAAAAAGTGGTTTAATATGTGCTACTATGTAGTATAGTCCATAGTGGACGTACAAGAGTTAAACTYTTTTAGAAAATCTAAATAAATCCATTTCAAACTGTTTGGAAAAATCACTCCTGAGATATCAAGAATTTGGTGGTATCTTGCAGGTATAACAGTGAACACTTATGTACAGTAAACCAATAAAGTTGCAGTGGAATTGTGGAAGTATTGGGAGACGGAACTGCCAACGATATGCCAAAAATTTTATATGATATGGAGAAAATTCTAGATGGTTAGTTACTTCTTACGAGATAGAGTGAGAGATGAATACGATASCAATTCGAAGAAGAAAAAGAGTGCAGGAAAATATGAATCGAGAATACTGTATTTATGTATAGAGTGATTCACCAAGCGTATATACTGAGTATTGTTCGACCTCCTCTTTTCATCTTTAAATAATGCGTTCATTTATTCAAATTCTGGTAGTCGAGACATATTGAGTACCTACCTACTTTTTACGACTTTGTTTTAAATAAGCGCTTAGACTTTTCACATAATTCAAAATGTATTCTGTGACAATTCTATACCTATTTTTTTTCAAAGAGAATCATACTTTTTTCATTGTAAATTGTTAGTTGTATGCAATGGCGACGCGTGGGGGGGGGGTGCAAAGGGGTGCAATTGCACCCCCCTGACTTTAAAAAAAATGTATGGTATTGAAAAGATTTTTTTTGCATAATTATCTATTAAAAACTTTGTATCTGACGAAATAACAAAAATAACTTCGTAACGTCATATAATTTGAAAAAATATTTCTACGTATTTAACTAAAATAATTTAAACATTATTTAGAAATCGAAGTATAGTGTATAGTGTATACTATGCACGATGCACCCCCCCTGCCAAATTCCTGGCGGCGCCAATGGTTGTATGATTTTATTGAATATAATTTTGACGCATTTAAATAAGAGAAATTCAAACTAGTAGTTTCATAGTAATTTAATAATTATAAATTATATGGGTAACCTATACATAATATTATTATAGAACGTAGTTCTTAAAAACGATTTAAGGTTTAAATTTTCAATATTTTATTATATCAAATATGAAATATCCACATACGTAATACTTAAGAATTATACTCTGTTAAGTTTTATAAATTATAACAATTTCGAGATATTAATATTAATAACTGTAATATTCAAATTACCAAATTATATCTTCTATAAACTTAGTATYCATTATATAATTAAAGGGTTTAAATCTGTGTCTAATGTGACCTAACTTAAGTTTTCTTCTTTCACATACAAAAAAAAGTATTAAAACCTGAATATTCTATTAGGCTTAAAATAGAAAGGTAAGACGCTATATTTTGTTGGAAAATACTTAAAAACAATATATACAGTGTGTAACAGAAACACCTGGCTTATAAAATAACTTATGCTCTGACCAATATTTTAAAATTTGTATATACACCTATATATATATATATATAATAATGAGATTTAAAAAAAAAATTAAAATATAAATTACATGACTTAAATAAATATTTTTCTCAATAAGTACATTTTTCTAAAATCTGGATTTTCTAATTGGCTATTTTGAATTTTTCAAAAAAGTCACTTAACTTTTTTATTTTCAGTATTGGAAAATAAAAATAAAAATGTTATACGATKTTTGTTGTAACATTGATGATAGATAATATACTAATATACTACCTATACTACCTGCTATATTTCAATACAATTATTAAATTAATATAATATATATATATATATTAATTTTCACGTGGGAACTTAGGCCATTGGGTGGTTATTTTAGTCGGTTTTCATAATTGTGATGGAGGGTGCGATTGGTTTAGAACACGTTGTGTGACAAGGTTTTCGCCACTATGAGAACCCGGGTGGTCGCCCATCCGGGTACTATTGGCAGCGGGTGATGCATACACTCAATCACGTCGCATGAATGATTGAAGGCTACAGAAACCGCACCACGCCAAGCCACTTATATAATATTATTATGTGCCTATACAAGACAAAAAGAATTATTTTTCCATTTTTCCATTGAAATTTCGTGTGTAATGTGTATATAAATCTCGAAAAAACTAAGCATAGAAACCTCGACGGAAACGAAGCGTTAACATTGTTATAGTACAATAATATTACGATGATTTTGTGGCCGTACATTGTACAAGTGTATACGTGATCACGTGACGAGAAGCTTGAGTATATTTTACATGATTGCATTATATATTTATATCACATAATATAATGATAACACAATGTAATATAGAACAGTGGTATATTAGATATATATGTGCGACACTCATCGCGTGACATTTATAATTCGCTTTATATGTACTTACCGTAATATACGATTGATGTAACTTGGCAGAGCGCTACAGCAATACACACAAGAGTACTCGTATATATAAAAATAATTATGTTAMTAATATGTTTACTTTAAATCCTCAACGATGCGCGTGTTTAAAAAGAACCGAAGAATTCTATTGTTTTTTTATGCTTCTAAACTCACTCCAAGATTATATAATATCATGTATGGATAAAAGTGGTTGGTTTGGTTAGATTAGGTTGGGCTATTGATTTTTTTTATTTCTTCAAAAATTGAAATGTTAAAAATTTTTTAACTACCCTTTTTTTTAATAGAATGTTTTTAAGAATTTTGATTTATCAATATCAAAAATGTGGGAAAGTAAATCTCAAGAAATCCTAATGACGATTTCCAATTTTGTTTTTAGAATTCTTATAAATTGGCGTACGTTTGACAGAAAATACTTTTAAAATCCTGTCACGCGTGTGTTAGACAAATTCAGAATATCACGGTATCAAATCCTTTTAAAGCATTAAACAAATACACTACAAATACTTGTTGACTTAAGAAGTAAAATAAATTTATTTTTTCGCATAGGTATTAATAAAACTATTGTCTATTACAAACACTAACATTATTTAAAATTATTATGTGATTTTTATTAAAAGTGAAGGGATGATCAATGTATATACTTTTTTTTTTTTAAAGAAATTTACAATTTATATACATGTTAATATAATAAGTAAATGTGATGATATGAAAACTTGAGGGAATGATACGTCTAGTGACACTACTTCTAATTTTAACTTGGGGGGGGGCTATAACTTTTTTAATATAAAGTGTACAAACTACCAGGTAATATTTAATAAATGACGCTGCCATTGATGTTTGAGACGACTGAGGGGATTGTCAGGGATTGTGCAAGAAGGGAGTTTAGATATGAGTGGGTTTGAATAGTTAAAGGTGTTTTCATGAAATTGTTTATAGTAATGAGAGGCGAGTGAGGATATTGATGGTATGTCGAAGTATTGTTGTAGGGCGCAGTTGCTGACGAATTAGGGAGCATTAGAGAGAACTTGGTTAGATTAGGTTAGATATTGATTGGAACGCTTGAAATTTGATTAGGTTTGAATATTTTGAGGTACCCCACAGTTGAATTCTGTATGCCATTACGGGACGTAATATTTGTTTGTAAATTAGTGTTTTATTAATAAGAGAGGCCTTGGATCGGATAAGTGGTCTTAATTTGTAAAGCCTGAGGTTAAGCGAAGTTTTTTAGKTTTGATGTGATTAGCCCAAGTTAGTCTTTCGTCAAGAAGGATACCTAGGTATTTAACGGAATTGTCCATCGGAATTATTTGGTTATATATTATGTAAACACGGAGAATTGTTTTAGACCTATGGGTAAAGGTGATGTGAGTGGATTTGTTTTCGTTAATTTTAATTTTCCATAAACTGAACCATTCTTGTAGTTGGGTTAAGTGGTCTTGGAGGTTGGATGAGATTATGTAAATATATTATGTATGTACCTATACCCATATAAAAACAGATTCGATAACTATATGCTACACTTGCAAGTAACAGAATCCGCTCATCGAAAAATGATGTTTACAACGGTGGTGGGGTTTTTTTTACTTCTTGTCAGTACACAGCGATGGTCATTCCCGCAACATTGGCACTCGTATTAAAAACATACGTATAATAAATAGACCATCCCTGAAGCTCCATGCCGATCTAAACGAGAACGAAAATATGGGTAGGTAACTCAATGGTTTTAGACGTCTRCAGGTCGACAACACGCATTCTTATGTGTATATTAGGCATCGAAAACAGAAACTTCGTTTGTTTAAATCGAATTGTTTTTTTTTTCTTTCAAACGTTCTGTAGTT